TTACTTATCGTCATCGCACTGAACAACAGTCATGCAGCACGATCCAAAACAGATCTGCTCATGAGCCTCACCTGCAACAAGGGTCAACGAACCCTGAGTACGAAAGTACTCAACAAGACTTAACCGAAATAAAAACTGAGAAAACTCAGGAATGCAGGCTCATGGGATTCAAGGTATGGCTTTAGCAATAATCAAGGTTCTTTTGCGTAAAAGCTCTTTTAACAAAATTCTTTATTTCAACATTTAAAACTTCATAAGATCATATACAAAGCTGACACGATCCGTATTGAGATCATGAAACTTCATATCCAACACTTTCTCAAACCATACTCAAGTTCCAGTTATTAATACTACGATGATGAACAGAAGTGAGTCTCCATAACCGAGGAGCAACGACGATTCGAACCGATTATAAACCCAAATGGGAATTCCAGACCACCGACATATGCAGGTCCCCACCCTACATATATCAACCTACCCTCGGATCCTCTAAACAAGAACGGGTCCGCGCCACCCGAGAATACTGAGACTCCACACTCCAAATTTCATTGCCACGTGGGTACACGCTATTCTCGCCATCTCTCCACTCCCGGTCGCGAGTAGCCATTCTCGTAATAGAATAGCCAAGTTAAGGCTTACCGAGTATGCGGTTAGTACTACAAAGTCTCACCTCGAGCGGTTCAACAACAGTGCGGACCTTAATCGACACAGGCGGAAAGAACCCGCCACAAGACCTCCATGTCTTATGGCTCACACACACCGAGTCCGCCCTTGGTCTAGATTTATTACTTCACATGCTCATATTTCATGATAACATAAGTAACCAAAGTTCCATATAAAACTCGCAGTGACGAGTAATCACCCGACTTTTATTATCTAAGCATGACTAAGCATAACTAGCCATATACTGAATTAAAATGGTTAACAAGGTAGATAAGGAAAACAAGGTTGGTAATGCATCAATTAGGTTTCCACTTGACTTCTAATCACTTAATGCAGATTGAAAAGCAAAAGCGAAATCAATTTGTAAAACACAAGGTAGGTTTAAATGTATCCGGGCTTGCCTTCGTTGACGGAAAAGTCCGATTCGTGAGTCGGACCACGATATCAACACCAACCTCCACAGATGGCTCAACCTCCTCAACTACTTGATTAACTACCACGGGTTCACCTTCGTTCACTACACGTAGTAACAATGCCATGTTTAACATGATGCGGAATACAAAACATGATGCTCGATGATGGATACAAAATTAAACAACTTGAATACAACTTTCCTTCATTCACAGACAGATTTACAAGTCAAACTAACTAAACCTATTTCGTAATACATACATCAATTGCCAAAGATCATTATCCACTAATGACCCAAGGACATCACTCAATCAAAAGTTCAATCAAAACCTAAATCATTAAAGGTTACTATTCACTTTTATGAATTAATTATTTAATTAAAATTATGAAATAAATCAACTTATTCCAATTGAGCTCAAAATTTTGTAAATGTTCATTACATGATAACTAAGTGACAAAACAATTTTCATAATTTTTGGATACATAAACAAGCCTAGAAAAATCATGGAAAGTCATTTATTAATTAATTGAGCAATTTTATCATACCCCAAAAATACTGAAAATCAAGATTTCAAATTTTTGTTATATAATATACATCATAGAGAAGTCACACAAAAATTTTCATAATTTTGGAGCTCTAAATAAATCTACACAAAATAACAAAAAAACAGACACTATTCATTCATTCCAGAAAATAGAAAAATCCATTTGAACGCTGAGTCACTGACAACCCGACCCCACCCGTCATCCCTAACCTCCGACCTTTGACTACGACAACGACGGCGCTGACCGGCGCAAACTCGCCGACGGTGAGATCACAGGAGACAGCAAGGGTACTAACATGATCACTACGTCACAACGTATCGATCTATGGCACTAACGCGACCAATTACGGACCGAACCGAGCACTACACCGACCATGGCGGACGCGGTGGCACGGCAGCGGCGCTACGCGCGGCGGGCAGAGAGGCAACGATCAAATAAACGGCACAGGAAGCACCAGCAGCTCACCACAAACACGACGGAGCAGAGAGCAAGGCTGGAGAAGCAGCGTAGACGTGGGTCGACGTACACAGCAACGGCGGCGGAGCAAGGATCGTCGGTGATGGTGTGCCGGCGACTGTGGTGATCAAAATGAGCAAGCAACAACGGGTTAAGCATCACAGCATCGAGACGAAGCCGGAGCTACGCTAATCAAAAGCAACGGCTCACCGGAGGGCCCTGACCACGGTGAAACGGGATCACCGAAGTTGTTGCCGGCCGCGAAGAAGAAGTACGTTGCGCGGCGTCTCCCGGTGAAATCAGACTAAATTGAGGGGATAGCTAGACGCGCAAGGAGTAGGCGGAGCTGGAGCTAGCTTATCAGCGATGGCGGAGCACGACAGCGACGGCACGGGCTCGCCGGAGATGAGCAAGGTGACGGGAAGAAAACAGAGCAACGGAAAAGAAGAACGGCGACGACTCCAGAGCTTTAAAGGATGGCCAGGAAACTCAAGGAAGCTGCGCACAGGTTTCACAAGGCCAAATATGCGCGACGCCAAAACGGCCACGACCGCGCCTGGAACGCCGAAGAAAGAAACGCCGGCAATGTAGCAAGAGCGGTGAACACTGTTCACACAATTTACAGAAATGCCATTCGCCCAAAATTCACAAATTACTCTCAAATTTTCATAACAACTCAAAAATCTCTAAAAACAAAAGTTGTTCAAAATCAAAAGTTCTACAACTTTGCTTTTGAAACCATATCCAAATTCATTCTACATTTTGAAATTCAAATTTAAATTCAAAAGGGAACACTTTTAAAGAATTATGCCTTTTCAAATTACTTCAAATTTTACTAAACAACTTTGAAAACTCCAAAAACCAACTTTGTACAACTTGACAAGATCTACACTTTTGCTTTTAAGCTCAACCCCAAAATATGCTTAGATTTTTAAATGAGTTTTCAGGGTAGAATTTAAATACTGAAATTAGGGTTTTCGGAATTTCAAATCAATACAGGTATTTCAAACTTGATTCAAACACTACAATTCAACACTTGTACATGAATGTAAACTTGTTTTAGTGAATGCATATCAAAGTTTGCAATATGACCAAATGCTTTGCAATGCATATGATGACATGACAGTTTTAGTATTTAAAACACCCGGGGTGTTACAATACAATAGTGGTATCTTATTATTACTTCTACCCATGTTCCACCTTCTCTTTTCTAATCCTCCTCACATTCACTTGATGTATGGGCCCACTACTGCATATGCTTTTGTATACAACTTGTTGCATGCATGAGGGCCCACTGTCAAAACACATTTAGGGCCTGCTTGGATGCACCAAACTAAAGTTTAGCTAGCTAAAATTTCAAAGTAAAAGCCAGCTAAAAGTTTTTCAACTAAATTTTAGCTGGGATGTTTAGATGCTCCAGCTAATTGACCCAGCTAAATTTTAGCTGGCTTTAGCTGGGTTGAAATAGCTAAACTTTAGTTGGTCTTTTAGCTTAGCTGTTTGAATGCCTAGCAGCTAAATTTAGCCAGCTAAAGTTTAGATGGTGCATCCAAACATGCCTTTTAAAATGGTCTCTCTAATGAGCTATTTCGAAACGATGGTTAGAACCATCTCTAAAAATGCATGTATAGAGATGGGCCACTTAACAAACTGCCTCTAGAGGTTGGTGACTTAGGCAACCTGCCTTAGGAAATGCTTAAGCCCCCTGCCGTTTATGAGGCAGGCCATTGCCTTAGGCCTGCTTGCCTATGTAAAGTTTCTGACGTGTCTCATATTTTTTTAGTAGTGTGCAGGACTTGTCTAATTTTCAATTTGAATTACTACACATTTATTTTTCACCTACGACGTCTTTGATGAAGTCTCATAGTTCTTTGTACATCCCTTGCAGTATACAAAGCAGAACCTTCATAGTACAAACCTTCCAGCTATCAAGATTGACAAGGATTCAGAAGCCACGGGAGAAACTATACTAGTTGTGTTGAGGCGTGCCCTTAGTCAATATTCTTCTCTGCAAGGACCGGATGGGCATTGGCCTGGGGATTACAGTGGGATTTTGTTCATTCTACCACTCATGGTATCAGTTTTATTTATGATTTAAGTTTATGAGAAATTGAAGCTTCCACGACGAACTTTGAATTATCAAAGCACACAAAGTAACATAATGAATAACAAAATGCTAGAAACATAATACCACAGCAAACTTGTTTTTTGGGATATGATAATGTACGTCAACAATGAATGGATCAAGACATAGTCTTTTTATTGATTTAATTTAAAATACAAATATGTAAACATAATCCTGTAAAATAGAAACGTAGTATGTTTTAAGGTATAAAATATTAACCATTATTGTGGATAACTAATTGGATATGATCCCCATAACATTTTGAGGTTCCGCTCTCATGATATTTTACAAAAGGTCACTATTTGACCAAATAAACATATGTTGTAACTTTAGCTATTTCATTTTTGTCATTAGTAAATTATATTCAATAATTGTGGTGGTATCATATTTTGATCTCACAAAATTTATTTACTGTATAAAATCATAGCTTTAACAATGCTTCTACCTTTTTTTGTATCTTTTAGATATTTGCATTACATGCACACGATCACTGAATGAAGTTTTGTCAATAGATCATATACGTGAGATATGTCGCTACATTTATTTCAAAGTTTGCTTAAAATTTCCACGCAATGTGGAATACATAAAATATATCTTACATATTCTATGAAATATAATATGTATAGAATGAGGATGGAGGCTGGGGAACACACACCTTGGGACCAAGCTCCATGTTTGGCACATGCGTAAACTATGCAACCTTAAGGATTCTAGGAGAGGTGCTTGATGGAGAAAATGATGCATTATCCAAAGGGCGTGCTTGGATTTTGTCTCATGGAAGTGCAACTGCGGCACCACAATGGGCAAAGATATATCTCTCGGTATGCAAATAAGTCATTAAAACTTATAAATATAAAAATAATTTAAACTTTAATAATTAATAGTTTTTTATATATGGAATGAACATCTTATTTTAGTTTTATTCTTATTAGTTTGCAATACAGTGTAAGTTCTCACTAGTTGAACAACATTTTCTAGCAATGAACATCTTTGGCATTGTAAATATATGGTTGTAGAGTGAAATTAATGCAACCCATTGTTGTTGCTTTCAACATAAGGTGATAGGTGCATACGATTGGTCTGGAAACAATGCAATCATTCCTGAGTTATGGATTCATCCCGGTATTTTATCCTAATCCCACATTTCCTAGTTCACATGTATCCACACGATATTTTCCAACTTTTATTTCGCTAGAGTGCAAATAAATTAAACAAATATTTGACTGCACTCCACACCTTTACATTTAATTTAATTGTTTCTAGGAAGGTTTTGGTGCTTTTGTCGGATGGTTTACGTGCCAATGGCTTACATTTATGGAAAAAAGTTTGTCGGGCCTATCACTCCAACTATTTTGGCAATAAGAAATGAGATCTACAATATACCATATAATGAGATCAACTGGAACAAGGCTCGCAATTCATGTGCCAAGGTATATCACTATCCTTCTCAGCATTGAAGCTTTATACTACCTCTAGTCATCATGTAAAAAATAGTCATATTCTCAATAATTATGCTCATTTTCACATAGTTTAATATTAGGGCCAACCTTTAAAAATTATTTAATCCATGTTTATCCAACGACTAGATTGGGAGACAACCCCTTGAAGTGGGGCTCCAAGTGGGGGATTGGGAATCTTGCTATAATACGGATCTTGCTAGAGTTGTTCCTTATTATTTCTTCGTTTTTGTCTCATACTAAAAAATATACTGGAGCTTAAATTGTGTTAACATACAAGATGCATTTTAATTTTTTACGCATTACTGGTGTTACAAATATATTTTTTGGCAGTTTTATTTCGCCTCTCAAGGATATTATTGGCTGCCAAGGTAATTCCATTTTCTAGTAGTATATAAGAGTCTATGCATGTGTGATGTTGCATGGTTGTGCTTGAGTCCTTATGATAAGGCGAGTCACTAAATACACATGTTGTCTGTAATTAGATTTTACTATGCACAAATGAATGACCAGTTGCACAAGGATATATCACGCAAGTATTCAATTCTGTAAAAGTAATTGTTGTTCTTTTTTCCTTTGGTCACTGCAGGAAGACCTTATCTATCGCCCTTCATAGTTGCAAAGTATTGCAATGGCTTATTTAAATAAGTTTATAGAACCATTATCAAATCTCTGGCCGATGAATAAGCTACGAGAAAGAGCTATGAGCAACCTCATGGAACATATCCACTATGAAGATGAAACCAACAACTATGTTGGCTTATGCCCTATTAACAAGGTAGCGTCCCATTATCTTTTAAAATAAAGGGTAGGCTTTGTTCCATATCTGGCTTTTTTAAGCAACAAGAGGGTCAGGTCTCTACTGATTATAATATATTAAAAAGAGAGAAAATGTCACACACAAAAGACCAATAAACAAAAAATATATACAAAAAGATCAACAAAATTATATAATGTTCTCTAGCCATTTGTTCACTTACTGGTAGATATCTCTTTATTGCACGATGGACAACCATGCGAAAGGTTTCTTTGAACTTTCTTGGTTTGCATTTTGTGATCTCAACTGGAATTCATCTTGAGATGCAATATTTTCTTACTGATTGAACAAAAAACACTTTAGCTCATTAAGATAATGACTTCTGAAAGCATCTAGGCCCCTAATTAGGTTTCGATGATTAATGACAACACGAGATTACTATGACTAACGTGTGTTTTGCAGAGACAATTTGAGTTAGGTCATGGTAATGGTAATTGATTGGGCAATCATGGTGGTCATGCCCCTGACGATGGAAATCGTTTCGGTTTTCAAAGGATGGACGACAAGGTTAAGGACGAACTAGTTCTGAGTGTCGTTTGGTCTTAGAGAGACACTTAGAGTAGTTTAGTACTTTGTTTTTTTTTTCTTTGGCCGTACTATTAAGGGGGATATGGACTAGTAGCTTGACCTAAGTGAGTCTAGTAGGTTAGGTGTGGTGCACACTTGTCAAAACTAGCACTAGATAGCTCAGGAATAGCCCTAAGATCAATTGGAGCAAACTTCATTCACATATGATTTCGAGTTGGAAGTGAATGGAGGGTCAAATGACTGACCGGACGCTGGTTTGGTTGTGACCGGACGCTGAAGGGTGAGTCCGGTCAGTTCATTTGATCAACTAAAGTTGTCTGGTACTGACCGGACGTTGAGTGAAAGTGACCGGACGCTGGGTGCCTGCATCCGGTCAACTCTAGAGAGGTTCTAGAGAGGGAATTTCTTGACCGGACGTGTCGGGTCGGTGGTGACCGGACATTGGTTAGGATCCGGTAACTGACCGGACGCTGAACAACGAAGTAACCGGACTCTGGGTGATAGCGTCCGGTCAACATCAGTAAGGTTCTAGAGAGCGTTTTTCGTGACCGGACGCGTCTGGTTAGTACTGACCGGACGCTGGTCAGAGTCCGGTCAGAACTTAATGGCTCTTTCTAACACAGTGGCAGGGATAACTGATCGGAGCGTCCAGTCACCCTGATCAGAGCATCCGGTCTACCCGCAAAGTGCTGACTCAGCCTCCCAATAGTTTGTTTTGAATGAGGGGGTATAAATACTTACTCCACTCGTCCAAGGAAGGCCTCTTGCCCATTTATTCAGCTAAGAAACACCTTGAGAGTGCCAAGGAGAGCAAGAGCCTAGTGAGGAGATTGAGATTTGAGAATCCAAGATTAAGGTCCTCATTAGTGCAAGGAGAGTAGCAAGTGTGCATCCATCCTTCTCATTAAGCTTGTCATGATCAAGTGAGAGTTTGTGCTTGTTACTCTTGGTGATCGCCATCACCTAGCCGACTCGGTGGTGATTGGGAGTTTGGTGATCATCCGACGGAGCTCGTGGATGACCCAACTCAAGTTGTGAGCGGTTGTGGGTGATTTACCGCGACGGAGTGTCGAAGAATCAGTCCATAGAGAGCACTTGATCCTTGCGCGGATCAAGGGGGAGCTACACCCTTGCGCGGGTGCTCCAACGAGGACTAGTGGGGAGTGATGACTCTTCGATACCTCGGCAAAACATCGCCGCGTTCCCTTCCCTCTCTTTACTTTAAGCATTTACATTTGAGCAATTTATTTCTTGTCTTTACATTCCTAGAATTACCATGCTAGAGTAGGATTAGAACATATGGTGCAAAACTTTTGTGCGGTAGAACAATAGAAACACATTCTAGGCACAAGGTGTGAAGTGGGCTAAGTGTAGAGCTTAATTATTGCAAAGAATTTAGAATTAGCCCAATTCACCCCCCTCTTGGGCATCTTGATCCTTTCAATTGGTATCGGAGCCTCATGCTCGCTAAATTAGGCTTAACCGCCTAGAGAAAGATGTCCTACGGGGATGGACCTTCTCCTATCTTTGAGGGAGATGATTGGAAAATCCACATGGAGGCTTATTTAGAAGCTTTAGATGTTGGAATTCTTAGATCCACCTCACAAGGTTTCCCGAAACATAAGGATCTCACATACCTTCAAGGCGATGAAGTTAATTACGAGAAATGGAATGCAAAGGGAAGAAACACCATCTTTAGAGGCCTTTGCAAAGATGTTTTTAACCGTATGTGGAACCATAAGGACGCCTATGCACTATGGTCAGACATTTGTGCGCTCCATGAGGGAACAAAGAGTGAGCGTGAGGAACGCTATCATCTTGTTATGAAAAAGCTTAATTCATTTGAGATGCTTCCTAAAGAAAGTGCTAATGAGATGTATTCACGCTTAAATGTTCTTGTAGAGGAAGTCAATGGGCTTGGACTCACACAAATGCAACCATCCGATGTTGTAAGAAAGATCTTGAGTGTCCTCCCCATTGACAAATATGGGCATATTGTGACTGTGTTTCATCAAGGTGATCTTTCCACCGCTACACCAACTCAAATATTAGGAAAGATCAATGCACATGAGATGTATATGCACATCACACCACAAGATGGCTCTTCTTCCACCAAGAAGAAAGACTTGGCATTCAAGGCTAGCCAAGAGAAGAAGGGCAAAGCAAGAGTTGATCATGAGAGCTCAAGTGATGATGAAATTGATGATGCAAGTCTTGCTCTCATGGTGAGAAGAACCGCCAAGATGCTTAAGGACCTCAACAAGAACGGTGTCAAGTTTGATGGCAAGAAGAAGAAATTCTTCACTAGCAATAGAAGGAAGTCCATCTCGGAGATGGATTGCTATAATTGTGGAGAACTTGATCATCTAGCACATCAATGCTCCAAGCCAAAGAAAGACAAATACAAGAAGAAGTACAAGGGCAAGAAAGATTTCTCAAGTGATGAAGATGATGATGAGAAGAAGAAAAACAAGCCATATAAGAAGAAGGATGGCAAGAAGAAGGATTTGAAGAAGAATGACAAGGCATACATCATTGGTGATTGGCTCATGGATATTGATTCATCAAGTTGCTCATCCGACGATGAAAGTGAGAATGAGAAGGTGGCCGCTATTGTAATTGACTCTTCACTATCTTCACCGACACCACCATCGTCATCCTCTACACACCTATGACTTATGGCCAAGGGTGAACGAAAGGTACAAAATGATGATGATAGTAGTGGTGATGATCATGCTAGCAATGATGATAGTGATAGTGATGATGAATTTGAATCACCTTCCTATGATGATCTTGTCAAGTTGCTTCACCAATATACTAAAATTATTAGAAAGACAAGAGCTAAAAATTAAAAGCTAGAACTTGAGAATGACTCACTCTTAGCTAAATATGACATAGCGGAAAAAGCTATGTTGAGCTTAGAGAAGAAAATAAAACTATGTCATCCAAACTCAAGGAGCTCAAATCCTCTAAAAAGGAGCTTAAAGAAAAACATGATAAACTTGAGGGGATACATAATGAGCTCACCACTAGCTACAATATGCTAAAAGAAGAGTACACAAATATCAAGGTTAATCATGATAATCTTGTTGTCTCTCATGAGTTATTATCCAATGAGCCACATGATGCTACTAACCATGTTGTTAAGATTAATATAGCTACATCATGTGATGACTTAATTGTTGAGAGCATTGAGCAAGGATCTAGTAGCAAAGGCAAGAAAGTGGTTGAGACCGACAACTATGATGAGTATGTCAAGCTCAAGCATGAGAATGAAAAGCTCAAGAAAGATCTTGAAAAGCTATCAACCACCAATACAATTGTGATAGAGAACCTTGACCATGATTGTGATATAGCTCTTGAGAATGAGAAGCTCAAAGAAGAGAATAAGAGACTCAAGATAGAGAAAATTATGATGAACTCAAAGAAGAGAACAAGAAGCTCAAGTTGGAGAAAGAACATCTCAAGACCGGCTTGAGCGAGTTCACAAGAGGCCAATATCTCCAAAGTGAGATACTCATGAACATCGTAATGAAGATGGTTAGAAGTGGCATTGGGTATTTGGCACATCAAGAGAAGAAAGCTCAAGCAGAACACCAACAACAACACAAGTCAAAGCCTAAGCCAAAAAGATGTGTTGAATGTGGACAAGAAGGTCACTTTGCCCATGAGTGTCAAGCTCCACCACCACAACCCTTGCCCAAGCATGCTAGACCTTTTGCTTTCAATGCTCATTACATGCTTAGAAAGGACTCTAGTGAAAAAATGAAAATCATGTTCTTAGGTCCTCCCAACAAGAATAGGCCTAAGAAAATTTAGGTTGCAAAGTATCTAGTTGAGAAAGTCAAGGGTCCTCATCAAGTTTGGGTCCCTAAACATCAAGCTTGATCTCTTGTGTGTAGGTGAACTACAAGACTGGTGAAAGTCATTGGGTTATTGATAGTGGTTGCACTCAACATATGACCGATGATCCTCGTATGTTCACCTCACTAGATGAAGAAGTAGATGGTTAAGAAAGAATTACATTTGGTGACAATTCAAAGGGCAAAGTTCAAGGATTGGGCAAAGTGGCAATATCAAATGATCATTCAATTTCAAATGTGCTATATGTTACTTCATTGAGCTTCAATTTGCTATCCGTTGGTCAATTGTGTGATTTTAGTTTTCAATGCTTGTTCACCGAGAAGGAAGTGGTTGTATCAAAGAAAGATGATGATCAAGTTATATTCAAGGGTTTTAGATACAACAACCTATATCTAGTGGATTTCACA